GCACGTTTCCTATGGGCCTAGGCCCATATCCTTGTGCGGGATAGTCTGATAATCAAATAACAGGGAAGCAAAACAAGGAAATTACACATCCAACACACCAGTTACAGAATAGAAAAACGTGACCTCACGGTCTCCTGATTTATGAATCAGTCGTGTGTTATCTCTCTGCCCCAGCCTTCCGACGCCTTTGTGCCGCGGATATAGCGCGGCCTAGGTATGATAACTTCGCACTGTTCACACATCTTTACCATTAATTTATGGGAAACAAACCAAAGGCTCAAATGTTTTCCATTGTGAGAGTGACAAAACACTCGCAGCCGGACAGCAAAATTAAGAGGACATGGAGGTAAAACTACAGTGGTCGAACTGCATCAATTCAGTAAGTCTTAACATTACCCAGGAATCGGCTGTTAAGCAGAAGGCAAACAAGAGTCACCTGTTGGCTATGTAATGTGATGTCTCATACTTCGTAACCTCAAAAAACCGTGTCAGTCAACTTCTGGGTACACATGCTACCCATCTATATGCGCAAACACCGAAACTCCCCATCATTGGATAGTGAAAATCAGTCAAAGACAAAGCTCAGATGATGAGCGGCATGTTTGTCCTTTATCTGCCTTGTGTCATTCTGGTTGAAGGTGGCGTTGTGGATCTAATGTGCACCGCGTTCTGTCACTGGTGGAGTGGTCTCGCAGTATAATAACAGGATAGCCACCCTAAACCAAATTCTAGGATGATGACCTGTGAACTCAATCGAGTTCAAAGGTCTCATCGTGTACATTCAAATAATTTTGGGTATTTCAAGAAAATCTCTTTCGATTACCCTTGAAATGCTCAGTGAAACCAGCTCGAACATTATTTTTCGATACCCGTTGAAAGTTCAGACCTTGCGAATAAGCTAGTGCCAGTCAGTTTATTCCTGAAAATTGGCTCTGTTCAACCGTCACAACCACAGTTAACGCCGAGGTTGTCTGGTCTCTCATCTTTGAAGCATAGTTACTTCGGTAGACTGAATGCCAGTCAAATAGCTGCTGAATTCTGCACCAGTCTTTGTCCTAGAAAATCAAGTTGAAGAACATTACAAAGAACAGACTCGTTTGAGTCAGACTGAGTTACTCTCAAACTGAACAGCCATTGATTTTCCATCTGTTACTGACTGAATCCATAACCGGAAGACAACACATCCAAAATGAACTTTCCCAGTTAATTCAGCTTGCAAAGTCTGCATTTGAACTCAGCCCCATCGATGTCTCGTTGTCATTGCGCCAGCGAAAAACATGTTTATCTCTTCCTCCTTCCTCTTTGTCATCATGGATTTCCTCATACACAATCGTGGGTCCAAACAATGGCCTATTTCTCGCTTTTTTTTAGTGGACCAGATAACTGCACCCTAATTTGTGGACTCACGTGCTTTTATGTTCTCACCCGCTCACAAGTGAGGTCATACCATCATTTGTATTTGTTACTCTTTTATCCCTCTGTGTCTAAATGTGTCCCGGGGAATGTATGGATTAATTGGCTGTTGATTAGGTGGTGGCTGCTCTGTTCGCAGAGTTTGGCAACTGGCTTGCAAACGTTTCGTCACCTAGCAAATAGACTTCGTCAGTACGCAGTTGGGTTCATCTGTTCTGTTTGGCATTGTATTGAAATCCGTCCAATCCATTGTCTTCTGACGTTACTATCGATTTAGTGGTGGTTATCGCCTCCACTACATGCGAATCCGAAGCTTCGTGACGCGACATGGTTTATTTAACTCCTCGGGTCTGTATACATAGTTCGGTGGGATTTCTCAGGCTTGTCCTGCCTGGACAGTCGTACAACACCATCAGAGTATGTCAGTATTTTGGGTAATAATGAAATCTACCAAAATCGACAGCCAACGCTCCTCGCGAGGTACTTTTTCCCCGATTCTGGGAGCCTTCTTGCTTACTGGACTGCTGGTTAGTGAAAATTCCAGGTTTGTGAGAGTCACTTCTTCCCCAGAGTTTATTGTATGTTGATGTACTGAGGTATAGAATGCAGGTGAGAGGTTGCTATGAGCTTATTGGATAACCTTGCATTGTAGATCACATCATCTAAACTCTACCAGATAGTTCGATTTGTATAGGTGATCTAACCCAAAGATAATGGTGGGCGGCCTGAACGTTAAGCATAGTACTATATAAGCAGTTTCGCGAGATCGAGCGATAATCCCAGATAAACTTTCATAGGGAAAACTGGAAACAGCTTAAAAACACTGGTACAGTAAACTCAGAAGTAGCGTTTATACAGCAGGGTAAAACTGAAAAAGTGACATTTAAATGACATGAATTATTTGTTAAAGTCTCACATCATGTGGTAATGTGTGACTGATTATTTATAGTACTGAACGTTTTAATAATAATCTGTGGCTGGTTGAAACACACCAAACATTGTACCAAAGCCTGTGAACTCGTCATTTCTATGCCGAATTAAAGGCCCAACTTGTATACCAGAGTTGCAAATATTTGCATCGACTAAAGACACCAAACACTACGCATTCACATACTGATCCATAGGGAATATTAACTGTCTTACCATGTGGGAAAGCCAAAGGGATGCTTTTATTCAACGATCTGAAATCAAGCTATTTTTTCAGTGATTTCATCATGTGAGCTTCTTAAGTATTCTTGGCAAAATAAGCCAGGACATGAAAAATACTCACCGGAGCGTTGAGATTGCAGAAGCAATCATGGATCCTTGTTTTACATCACCAATTGAACTAAGGATGTTCCGTGGTATACAGTTTGCTTGTATTGATGACCTATGGACACTTTCCAGGTGTGATCAAATGTAGTAAGAGAGTCATCTCATCACGATAAGTTGGGTTCGGTCGATGCGATAGAAGTTTTCTTTTATCTATGTATAGCTGAAGGCGACTTCTTGAAATACCTCAGAAGAAACTGATTATGATGTTTAGATCCCTGATGCTGAGGAGTCTTAATGTATGACCTTGTATGCTACGGGTGTGTGGAGGTGTTTCATGTGTTATAAAATTTATGTGTCATCCCCTGTTGATAATCCAGTGGCGATTTGCAAATTTGTGGTTGACTTGCGCTACTTTGCTCATTGTGACGCAAGCATCACCAACAGAGTAGCTAATAGTTGTTCCGTTTCCGTGCTCATCAGAACTGAGCACGTTGGGATTCGAACCGTTGAACAAGGCAATATTTCAGATTTTCATCAAAAGTGCCGAAGCAGACATTCGTCTGGACCTGTTATTGTAGAGTAAGCGAGTGAAAAACTGTGTTTTAAAGGAGCGCAGTATGCTGTGTATGCTGTAAGAGGTCCCGCCCCACCACTTACATCGACTGTCTTTCGGTAGACAGACTCCGCTGTCTTGAACAAGCCTCGGTTTAGATGGGATGCGGCCGCCAGGTCGCTCTCGGTCAACCGAATCACACCATGTTCCAATTATCAGGGTGGCAACTGCAGCGAAAATTTAATTCTCACGCATAAGCATCTGTCGCAGTGGATTGGTGTGAACCACTTCGAAGGTCACGTTGTGAAGTGCTCTTGAAATTATTCTCTGGGATGAATTCAGACGGTCCAGACACAGCCGGCCGCTTTATCCACAAGATACAAGTAGTCTTTGTTCTTAGACAATATTGGTACAGTAGTATACTCAGAGTTCGCGAAAGCGTGGCCGTCCGTTAAACTCAAGCTGGCGATCATCGAACTGGTTTTAGTAGACTGTCCGTTGGTAATTATCTGAAAAAGGAACCTTACTGCAAGCCAAATGATTCAGCGAATGATAACGTCAATACTAGAAACGGATGCGACGGTGAGCGATCCATACGACGAGTGATCCTACCAAAGGAGAGGTCGTCACTCGAGCAGCAAGTCAGCATGGGACAACATGATGTGAATCACGTGACTGAAGGATGAGTAGCGCTGTATCCTGTCCAAGTGTGAGTTGATCACTGCTGTTCAGCCGGAGGTGACGAGACTGTTTAGTTTTCAAGTGCTATTCTTTCTTGAGGTGCGCATTGCGGAAGATTCCCAAAAAAGGATGAAAGAGCTGTACAGTGCTCCTCCGCTTTTAAGAATACGCTGACTTCAGTAATAGGATGAAATCTTGGGAGTCTTAGGATGGGTGGTAAACTTTCGATAGATAGGTATCTCTTGACTGCAGGTTGATTACCGTAGCTTCCTCTCGAAACTCCATAGGACTCCACAAAGTATTTTTTTGAAATAGTGTAACATAGTCTAACTTCTGAAAGTGAAGAGCCTTGTAAGCACCAACTCTCTCAGGCAAGAAAAATTGTGGAAAAAACATCAATCTGACGGCTCATCTGACGTGAAGGCTTTGCCTGCGGGAGATTGTCGTTTTCCACAATGGCAGTCTGGTCAGTCTGCTCTTTGTGTCGATAGCAAAGTGCCAATTATCATTATATATATCATCACATATCAACGATGAATGGTTACAAACCAGGGCACGCTAAAAGCAGATGAGTGAAAAAAGTTGCCTCAGAAGCAATTTTGAATTTCTCTACAGCAAAGTACCGACAGATAAATGTTTGAGGGCTGGCAGGCTTTGCTGATGACAGAGTGAGATATGTCGTTTAGGGTATGTGGACCACATCTGAGCTTTGCAACGGATATGTGACACGCCCCTGCGAGAAATTTTTCGCCCCAGTCAATGAGACGAAAGTCCTTTTTCACTAGGCTAAGAACTTTCACAAGGGGACAGTGCGAGATAGCAGGGAACACACACACAAAATCATATGTGAAATTCCGATGACAGTAAAAATGGTTTAGTTGCTAGATAACGGTGTTTTTCAGGATTTTAGAAAGCGTTCGAACGTGAGTCCTACAAATCTTGGTGAGATATAAACTCTTTCCGCATAGTATGCAGTGAGAGAATGATAGCTACGTATAGTTGAAGGGACACTCTGGAAGCTCTTTTAGACGAGAAAAAAAACACAAAAGCATCAGTTCAGCGATGTCAGTCGGGTTAAGTTTTCTTTTCTTTTCGACAGAAGAGTGCAAGTGAAGCAGGCCAAGATGCCTCAAAGGATGAGAAAAAATTAACCGAGAAACACAAACAGTTTGTCTAGGCGAACTGTCTGAAGATAATCGGGTTAACCCGCGAAAAGAAATGTTATCAGAATCGTACCTTGACTAGTATCAGTTTTAAGAATATAAAAGACCGTCTTACAAATTCTGTTTTCCAGAAGCAGTAGTTTACAAGGATCGCCATCCTTGAGGAAAAAATGGTATATTTCAGTATTAGGAGAAGGAGATGTCTGTCTACAGTGTGAAACGCTACATCCAAATCGCGAACACATTTGGCTGTAGAATCATCTTTGTCCACAGACGAAGTACTGAGGTAGAGATTTAGGGAAGTCGATTAGCAGTGAAAGCTTGTAAAGAAGAAACAGTTTGACGACGTTTCTGTAACCTAAGCGGTGTAGGCTTAAGTCACATCGTACTTCATACCTGGAGTGCGGAAAAGCTAGCGAACAACACAACGATGAAAGTTACAGCCTCATTCAGCCCGCTTAAACCATATGGAAGTATACGAAGTTGAGGAAATTCCTAGTCGAAAAGATTCAGACAGAGATGTCAGGAGAGGATTGGGGTGAAACATTTTGAAAGTGGAGGCGAAGTAGGCAGATTCTCCTTTTCTTGAATGAAACTACTCACGAGGTAAAGATAGTCTAGTCGACGTCCCACAACCGGTTTTGGTTCTCTTAGAGTTCAGCAGTCAGGCACAGTCTCCGGAATTCCGTCAACCCTATTTCCTATCTGAATCGAAACCGAAACACGAGGCGGACTTTATGCAGTATATTCAGTTGGAGAAATATCTCCTTCTGGGGCATTCACATTAAGACAGTGCACTTTTGTATCAGATTTCCTGCAGCAGACGAAGTGGATGAAACTGAAGTTCGGACAAGAAAACCGCCTTCATTTATTTTCCTCATCTCGTATCTGCATATCACAACATCCAAGTTATCTATCAGTGGGCATCTTCTGTTTTGAAGTTCGTTCGAGATGTCTTACACCAACGACTCCGTTGAAAATGGATAAGTCAATTTGAGTGGTAGATTACCAAAGTCAAAATTTAATTAGAAAATGTCCTGCGTAAATGATATATGCTCAATTGTGGGCAATTGTACGGAGGCTTTTAATTGCTTGATAATTGTTGATGGGTGTGCGTGGATTATAAAATAACAACAATGCGGAAACTATACACAAACGGAAGGACACAAGCAACGCAATAGTCAGAAGCCGCGGAAGACTTCCTGACAAAAGCGGAAATTCTTGGGTATATGGTCGCATCGGCCGTCATTCACAGTTGCCTCAAAGACCACGGATATCAGAGAGGGTAAGACTTAATGGAAATTCACAAGTTAGTAAACAGTTTTACTTGAAGTTATGGAGTGAATCTAGGTTCATTGGAGACAACCAACACTTGCTACCATCACAAGAACTTTAGAAACGGACATGAGCATATGATATCCCGAGTGTCTTTCGCGGAAGCCAGGAGATTTTCATCATTTGTCATGGTTTACAATAAAATATTGAGCCGGGAAAGTCGTGGGGAACAGTAGCCATTAACATCCTTCATAATCGTCGCTCAATCCAGATTCTTGAATTGTTCCCAGGTCACCACTGTTTAGAAGCTTTATTCGTGAACTTAAATACGGATTGTGGGAAAAGCAACCGGTGCAGCAAGTACAGCCAACACTTTGGTTACAAGTGCAGCAGATATCTTCTGATGTCACACATCTTGAGTAGTCCTACGATTTGCAACAGTAGACAAGTACAGTGATTCGTATCTGAGCGAACGGACGAATTTCGGGGTGGACTTTTTAACCATATTTGGTTCAGCGGACAGAAATAACGGTTGTAATAGGACAGGCGTGTCTGACCGCCTTTTGTGGTTTTAAGCGATTGTTTTGTGAATGGGAGGCAAGTTTAAAGCAGATTTGGGGGAGGTATGTGTTACCTAGCCACCACAACGGTAAGGCAGTTGGTGCCCGTTATCGTAATGGCGCTGAAGGCTACGAGTGTGTAGTAAGTGAGAACAGAATCCATCGTCCGAATGATGTTCGTTGTGCGGCCATTCTGCTCCAGCAATAGCCATGGGTTGAATGAAATACAGAGCTGCATTGGTTCAATAACCCGATGAGCATAATCACCCGAGTATTCGACTCATTCAGCTAATCGATCACATAAACCGTCATTGTTCTGACAGTATAATTTTCACTTGTGAGGGATACAAACCATGTGGTTGACTCGGTTGAAAATGACAGGATTTTGAGATGTTTCGTTGAAATCTGGGTCTTAGGTATTGAAGAATTTAAAAGATGTTGGATGCTGAAAAAGTCGAGCCACATACACCCCGGAAACGGAAGCTAGGTAGTTTCTGTGAGACACCAATACAACGGTATTGAAGCAAGATAATGGTTATAAAGCTAGTCACTGATACGATTCAAATGAATGTGTCCCAAAATCTGGTCTACGCCGAATTATTCTGAGGTTTCCGGTGGATTCTTGGTCTCATTGTTAGCATGCTCCATAAGTGAGACTCCTGGAAATGCCTGCTTTGTTCTAGGACACCATAATGGCACCGTTGTTTAGCTTTCAAACGTTCAAAAGGCTGTCACGTCGATATAATTCAATTCAATTCAATTTATCAGCTATAAAACGTGTGCCGCAGGCACATCAGTTCCAGCTGCTAATTTTCCGATCACGTCCATATGGGATGAAATCCTTGCTGTGGTCAAGCCCTGAGATCCAGTAGACCATCAACTCTATACCCCGAACTACCGACATTCAATTCTATATTGAAACCAACGATTACGCACCACACATGCTGAACCTCCAATTGCTTTGGTAGTTAGATTTGTCATATTGTGAGTATTTCAGATCCAAGTGGACGCCTTCCTTAACATCCGATTTATTTTCCGAAGTTCCGAAAAAAATCGGGATCGTTAAGGGAATTCGCCCTTAGAAGTTAACTTATTCGTGCATCCTATCCTCTCGGACTGTGGTTGCACGTTCCTATGGTGAACCACATGGTGAAGCATGTGATACGGCGGCGCTATACTCCGCGAATAATTCAAGCAGTCTGGGACATCCCAGCCATGTAAACGTCGTCACCACTGATGTTGTCCCCACGTAGTTCACAAACCAGTGTAGACAATAAAAAGCCATCTGAAGGGGACTGGTCTAGCCCAATCCCACATACAAGGAACACAGACGCGCATGCGAGAATTCAACCAATCAACGAGCATCCAGCACGCTATTGGCTAACATGTCTGAGCTCGTGGTGACAATTCTCTTCCACACCAAACTCAAGGTCTACGGAAAAAACACTCACAGAATCGCGATTTCGGCTTTGTTGCGCCCATGATAAAACCACTTAAAGTCTTGTAGGATTCTACTGATCGTGACTATTGGTACTGAATTGATCTTTTCACAAACCGTTGGGCTGTGTTCATATTTGATGAGTAATGAGATTGCATGAGCTGTCCTGTTCAAGTGCCGCTATTGGATTACTGTTGACTCTGATTTGCTCCATTTACAACGGATCTGCTCGCAAGCTGACTGCTTCCTGGATGGAGGAACGTCTGTTTCTTCGTGCACGTTGTAAAGCGAAGTGTCTACGATTATTTCAAAACCCGTTGGAGCAGAAGGAACTTCAGGTGAGTTTCTGTCACATTCCAGATGTGGTGTTTGTTCACTGTATACACCGTTGTTAACGATGTTGAATGATTAGCCAAACACATAAATGCGTACATATTAGGCTGTGATAGTTGGTGTGAAATTCCATTGTGTAAATTCCATTGACCGTAAGCTGAAGATTTCATTACTGAAATCAGCTCACACAACTGTATCCGATCAGATGAAATAGATTACATATTAGTCCTCGACCTTTCTAGAGCTGAGAATTGACTTCTGCATTCACGTTTTGGGTTCGGTCTGACTCAGAGTACGAGATGGCTCAATATCTAGAGCGCGAATTAACTGCCGGGAGGTCCGCGGGTTCGAACGCGACCTGTGCCTCTCGACTTCGCCTGCCTAGGCTTGGGCAGCCTGGCAGTATCCCAGACCTCGTGCTTCCTTCTGGTAACACGGCAACTGGCCACCAAAAAGGTGTTACAGCTAAACGATTTTTCTAAAGGACCTGTTTATACAATAAAATATTTTTGAGTCGTGTGTGTCCTTACCTATAGGCGAGCAGAATTCACCGTGATATTGGAGGTCTGCAAATATAGTAAACTTTTGAATTTGGACCATTAGTGAGCACGCATCAGTGTGACGAGAAGTTCCAGTAAAATGTTTGCGGGTTTTTCCTTAGACTAGCTACAAGGCTGTGGGAATGAAGGGGATCTGAAGTGAACTGACTACCCGATTAATAGCTGTGGTCCCTATCCCCTTTAGCTTGTTAAATTTCCTGAGGCGCCGAAGTTCCCGTAACTTAAACCAATAATGATCACATCTTGGAGTGATTCTTCAACTAGGCTACTTGAAGGCTAGGGAAGCGAATTCGTGTTGCTCCGAGTTTGTGTTATTCGCGACCCAGTGAATTATCTAATTAAGCATTCCAGAATTATTCGTCACGTTACTCACGACGTGAATATGTCATGATTAATCAGTCATTTGGCGACACGGCCAAAACAATCCGGGAAGTTATACAGTATCCCAAGGAATCCACTATGTATGCGTTTCTGCGTCTGATCGCTACAAGAATTGGATGCAAAGTCCCCCGATTGCCAGTTGCATCCAGCCCATTCGTAAAACCTGGTGATTTCAGGTTCGTTTGTGTTTAAGCTTTTACAGTAGATTGTAAGTGATTTGTTGGGGTGTCTTGTTTTCTGACAGCGCGATTGCACGCTGTGAGAAGACGATTATGAGACAGACTGCAGGTACGATGCTCCCTTGAGTTTCGTGATGATGCTCAATAAAAATGAAATAGTTCTACGGTGATTTTCGGCTCCTCAGCACAGAGTGGACAAATTCGGGGACGAATTATCGGTTGGGAATTCTCAAATATCCTCACATAACCAGCGTCAACCGTAGGTTTATAAGCATGCGCTCCCTTAAGGATAAACAACTCCAAGAAGTGTGCCGTCTTGGCCGCTCTAAAGGGCGCGCGTCGTCACATGAATACATATCAACTGCATATCAACTGTTTTCTCTGTTGTGTCCAAAATCCTGTTGGTGGCATTCAAATTCTTATGCGGCACTCAGATTTATCGTTACTGCCCATTTGACTAGGCCTTATTACCTTCACTTACGTCCCCTCATCGTCGGATTCTGAAGTGGTCTTACCAGTTGGATTCTTTTAATGTTGGCTGACCACAACATGCATGCCAGGCATATTATTTACGGAAAAGCTCACCTGACGTGCTTTCGCTACACGATTTTCTTATTCCCCAAGTATCGGAGTTGCAAAGGCCTTTAGGGTGCCTCATATTTTATGCATGATTTTTGTTGATTGTAACCTTGCGGAACGATCAGCACTTGAAACTAAGTAGTGTATGAACGATTTGGGAATCCAAGCGTAATTCTTTGAAGTATGGAGTCTTTGAGTTTGCTCAGAATTTACGATGCCTGGAAGACGTTGTCCTCCGTCCGAGTCCGGATTTCTGTCTACCAAAAATCTGGTGAATACTTGGTCAATTTCGACTAAAAAATCGCACACTCTCTCGGAGTTGATCATGCAACGGCTAATGAGGAACATTTAAAATGCCTGTTACTTCGAAGCAATAATAAATTGGAGATCTGGGCCAAAACAGAGCAGAAACTGGATAGTGTCAGTAAAACTATATTTTCTCATGAACCCTAGGTCATTCAATAGACTTACCGTAGTTCGGGATATCCAGGAAAGTATGAGTGTTCATGATGCCATTTGTGTTTAAAAATAGATCGGGTGCATTACTCTCTGTTTATATGAAACCCCGCTGGGAGCGCTCATAATTTTTCTTCTTGCCAAGATGTTAGTCGAAAACAAAATCAGAACAAACCTATGTCACAAAAACCTCACTTTATAACCCCTATAGGATGACCCATCTTTTTAAGATGGTCACGTCTATTGGAACCACAAGCCGTCAACAATTCCGGAAAAATACCAAGTTCCGCAAAAGTTCTCAAGCTATTCTTCACGTCACACAAACCACCAAATGACCTTTTGTAGTTCAGAGGCAAAATATGTTCTAGTCAAACCGTATTCTTCTGTATCCCGGGCCACCGGTAACTTCCACGTCTTGAAGTCAGCACCACACCTCGCAATGAATTCAAGGTACCCATTCTTTTGGTTGCTCTGTTATGCTTTGTTAAGACATTGTCACAGCACAGGTTAAGCAGTGTGAGCGGTGTTTAGCCATCTGCGCCTCGGCTTGGTCTTATTGAATAAAACATCCCATCTGGTCGAAGAATTTTCAGCAACCTTGTGAGTAGTGCACTTGCGATATCCCATTTCGTCTGTTTCAGTGGGCGATCCTGATCTCGAATTACACCCCCAAACACTCGTAAATGAATCATTCGCCTATATCTAAGTGGCGCTGCTTCGAAGTACATTTTCGAACTCAATTACCGGCAAAATTTGCTTGCAAGGGCGATTAATACACCGAAAAAATGACGCGCGTATTTTTTGCCTCCCAAGTGGTTTTGATGTGGGCTTTTATCACGAAAAAGGTGGAATTCATAAAAGCCACCTCTTTTTTCACAGAGGCTTCTTGCAGGGAATGAACGCTAGTTACGGATCGCCACAGATTTCACAAAATGAATCGACGGATCTGGGTTTCATTTTGCCCGTGATATCTTTTCACTTAGACAGTCTGAACGACGCACACTAGTTTATATATTCTCAGTTAGCACTAAACTTATTTTATCGACCCAAGACGTCATGTCGGGAGGGGGGCTACTGTTGCTTAACGGAATAATAGCAGACATGCAATTTGTGTTGAGGTAGAAAATAAGGTTGACGGAAACTCGTAGTTGCGCCCATCTCATGAGCTCCAAGAGGGGTGATGCCAACAGTAGACTGCCGAGGAGTTTTCAGCAGTCTAAGGAGTAATGTATTACGTCTGTACATGTATCGCGATACCTCGGATATCGTAGCAACTGAAATATCGGACGGCCTGGTGCAGCATAGTTAGCTGCTTAAAAACATTATAAACGAGAGATTCAGCTGGTTTCCAGGTGAGTCTCACGTCAAAACCAAGTTGGTATGCAAATGAATTTGTTTCGCTAAGAGCAGAAAGTTTCTATTCTTGTCTCCTGTTCTACTGGCAGCGTTTTGCATGGAAATGATCGGTAAGCCCAAACTGCTATCAAAACACGGGTTAGATGGGTGTTTTGAGCCAGGGAGAAGACATCACACTGAAAATGCCCTTGCCACTGACCCAGCAGCACGCTGCATCTCCCCCCTGAAGTTTCGCAGTTGAAGTACTCATCACACTACCCATCATAGAATGAGGCAGCACACGACAATTTTTTTCGGGCTTACAACAGTCAGAGTTATCTTTGCTGATATATAGGAATAAATGTTCCTGGTAGTTCATCTTGTTTAGAGGTTCTTATTAAGGTATAGAGGTATAGCTGAAAAGTGCAAGCCCTCAGTGATCTGTACGATGGGGTTGGCGACGTCTGAAATTACAGACATCTTGGTACAGTCGTCTAAGGCCACATGAAGAATTGTAATCACACGATGAAATTATTTAACAACTGGATGACAATGAAATTTCATTAACCCTATGATCCGGTTCTTATTGATCACCCTCCCAAAACGGAACGTCCTCTTCAGGAAGCTAGCTGGAATCACCTGAGGGAGTTTCCTTGTGCAAGGAGTACGGTTCCATGGGGTACCCTGCCTGTATTAAGGAAAACCCTAATAGCGAAAGTTGATTCTGTCCTGAAAGTTTTTCTGCAAAGCAGTAGTCTTAGTTGCCGTCCTATTTCACAAACTAGGCCTCACTTTGTAGGCTCCTAACAAGTTTTTTCTTCTAAATTTTACCACGTAACGCCATTTTACACTGTCTGATTTATGGTTGTGGGCACTTGTATGCCATCTCCAGTTACGATACCTTCGTTAGCTTCCGAGAATACATAAAAGTAATCTTGGTTCTGTCTGCAGCAAGCAAAATAAAACTGCCTTCTAGATACCTCATGCCGTAGTCTCTACTGGTGATGCTTTCCTGTAGGCAGGCCGACTTCCTGGGGATTCCACAATGACCTTCCATGTCAGACGTGGCTGAGTGATGAAATTCCCGTTTTCTCAAGTAATCACTCAAGTCAATATCAAACAGCTCATCAGGTTGAGGTTTTCTCTCTTCACGTGTGTGTTTATAAAAACTATGAAATAATGCTAATTACCGGTTTCTGGAAAGTTGATTGGTCGATCATAATTTCAGTCATCACCGGAAAAAATAACGTTTCTTAGATAACGTTTTATCATTTCTGAACGCCGAATATTTTGTAAGGGCGGATGATAACCCCATTGTTTTCAATGAACTAACTAGCAGGTTCTTCGTAGTTGGTAGTACGGCCACTTAATTGCTGAACCGATGACCTTCCAAATTGCTCTGACTTTAACAGCCGAGAGAAAACAAACGGAGCGGAATGAGTGCGTTGTGAAGCTACTCTGCGAGTCATTTCTTCAGATCTGAATAATCTATTTCTAACACATGCATAAATTCAG